CTTGTTTCAGAGATTCCATAGAGATAATAAAAAGAGAGAGACGATCAAAGAAATTACTTTTCTTTGTTTGTTTCTTACAAGAACATCAAGAACAGAAAGAAAAAAAAAAAGTTATAGATGATGAGTTAACGTTTAAAATGAGGCTTAAAGCTGAACAGTAGCATGACCTCAAAGGAAAGTCATGCGAAAGAGAGAGAGAAGTGTTGGTGAAGCAAGAAGAGCTTTTGCTTTGAGGAAATTTAGGAGCTTTGAATGGAAGAGAGTAATAGGGTTAGGTAAGATATGAGAATCAATGGAAGAAAAACATAAGAGAGAATTTCAACAAGATTATAAAAAGAACGTTATGATGACAAACATGATGATTATCAAGACTGAGATGGAAAAAAATACAAATCGTGACGTCATCTGATGATGGTAACCACACACATTTCACTCTAAGAGGAATTTGATCAAACGAGCTCTCATCAAAGCCATTTCAGTTGCTAACGTCGATGAACAAGAATACATTTTGGTCAACAAAGTTGACATGGACTAATGATTCCCATGGTCTTAATGGGGTAGGTAAGGGATTGAGATGTCTAGTTTTGTGCATCAACGTGGATATAAAAATATCTTTTTTATGTGTGCAGACTTGATTTTGCTTGACATTGCAGCCTACACCACCCAAATTGCCCTAAGTCAATTGCATACCCTACCAAAACCCACTCTGCATCATTCATCATTACCAGCACCACTTAAAATCCTCACTTCATATGGAGAAAATAATCAGATCGTAAGCCACAGTATCTCTCACTCATCAAACCAGTGCTCAAGTAAAAGAAGATTAAAATTATTCAAATCCGGTAAAGGAACTTCGACGACAAAGATTCAATATGTTTCTGTCATTCGACCATTATTAGATACTACTTCTGTACAGATTCTCAAGTATGGAAGTCAGGTGGATTTCGGGGGTTGGAGGGTTGATTTTAATTTACAGAGATACAACCACATTCACTTCCTTCCCAACCTAACCAAATGAGCATCGTGCTTCGCGGCTGCTACTGCTTCAGCAGCTTTGTTTGCAGCTTCACGCTTCATTGCCCTCTTCGCACGCCTTCCTGTTAAGGCACTGCTAGTCTTTTCCTTTGGCTCACTCGAGGAGGAAGAGCCGGAAGCTTGGCCACCTCGGTTCTTAGGTTGGACCGGCCTTGCTTCTTGACGGCCTGCTCTGACAAAACCGTTGTCACCCCACCTCCTGTTTGCCAAACGAGGACCTGCTCCGTGCATATAAAACTCCTCAAGTTCCTCATCGTCTTCTTCCTCCTCATACTCAGGTGGAATGACAAAATCGTAGTTCTCTTCGCAAGAAAAACGATCCACTGCTTCCAGTGGAACAAACCAGGATGCTCTCAGGAGGAGGCATACGCTCTCCTCGAACATGAAATCTTCCACGCTGCAGTGAAATATAACAGCCACAATTCATAAGAAAGGAAAAAGCAAAGACAATGATGTAAGCCAAGAGTACAGTTGAGCAAGAAGGCCACATCAAGAGCCAGTCAAGTAAATGGAGTTAACAATGCAGCCAAAAGTAAATAAAAAATGGAAAAATTTACCTTCCGTCAAGAGTGCGGTGGACATTGAGGAAATCAAATGGATGGTTACATTGTGGACAGGTATGCTTCTCTTTGTAACTTGCCCAACGGAGTATGCACGTCACACTATATATATAGATAGAAATGAATCATTCCTCTTGAACAACAAATAGAGAATGTCAGTCTTTGTCCTATTTCATTTCTAATCAAACTTACTTTCTCCTAAACCAAACTCCATCACTAAAGAAACTGAAAGATTGACTAAAACTGATCTCACAAAACCAATGGCATAAACCACAAACGCAAACTTGCTCAGTATCAGACTAAACATTGATACGAATATCATGAATCGGTAAGAACCAAATCAGCATAAATACACTATTAGCAAAGTAAATGCTTTGGACTAACCAAGAATCAATCAGACATACCAGTAAGCATGTTCACAGCCTTTGACCATAGCTGTTTCTTGAAGAGGTATTGTATCCAAACATATTGCACAACAACCACCATGGTTCCCGAAACTGAGCTCATTGTCAAAATCTTCAGACTTTTTCACACCCTAAACGCATAAAAAAAACTCCATCTTTTAATCAACCTCGTTAACGAAGTATAAGGACAGATCGATTATAAAGAAAATCATCAACATCAAACACTCCACACGAAAGAAGCCGTAAATCCGGCCAAAGTTCCCAAATTTTTGAATTTCAAACGAACCCACGTAACAGTATTAGGCTTAAAACGAATGGTCAAGTCAAAGATATCCAAAAAATTACAATTCACGAGTACCCTAAATTCTTCTTCTTAAACAACATTTCCAGATCATATATCCAGAAAGGAAAACGCAAAAGCACATCGAATTCAATAGATAAAGCTTGACGAATCAATTACAAAGCAACCCGGAAACTCGATCTTCCCTTTTGTAAAACGAATTAATCAATCAATCAATGAGGACAAGACGAAAACAAAACCTGATCTTTAAGAGCTTCAACTTGCTTTTCATCAACGACCTGGATCGAGGAACTCATGGCGGCGAAAGAAACAAATAAAAAAAAAAAGATCCGATCCCCGGAATCTGAAAACCAAAGATCAGGTGATAAAATAAACAAAGGTTGGTCCTTTCAGATCTATTCCGCAAGCAGAGGAAAACCCTAATCCAGTAATCTGAAGAACGACAGTCGAGTTCAGAGAGAGAGATAGAGGAAAGTGGGTATGAGAATGGTTCGGACACCTAAACAGGAGAAGAGAAGAGGAATCGGAATCCTCCACAGGAAAACGCCCGAGGAGGAGGTGTGGAAAGAGGTCCACACAAGACAAGACCTTTAAATTATTACGACTTGTTCACCAGAAAAAATTATGCGGTGCTGCTCAGATGCGACCAAAAACAAAGCAAAACAAAAAAAAACCTAGCGGTGCTTAACGATATGTGT